GCGTACTCCGGGTCTAGACCGAACCCCTCGCCGCTGTCATGTTGCGACCATTAACCTATTAGCTTAAGCTGTTGCATTTTAATTAATGTCTCTGACCGTCAGGGGAAATAATTCCCCAGAGTAAACCAACGATTTCCCTCTTAACATATACAGGGAAGTTCCTTTTTTTCGGATCAATGAATGGCTTACTCTTCATTTTTTTTGGCCCACTTTTATTGAAGAGGTTCTCCCCGCCATAAGCCTAATTAATTTTATGGTTTCCATGAAACGCACAAAATGAATTTATGTCAATTGTTCAGCAGGACATTATGTTTATTATTATGTATGTAGCATGTCCTTTTGTCAGATGAGATTTGGTTAGTTAGGCGTGAGTTACTGAGCTGCCATAAATATGACATAGAAAATAACTCATTATTAGTTATGAGGGTCAAACGGGGTTATCAGTTGATTGAAATAAGTCTGAGGATGGGTATAAAATGTTTGGGGAATTTATGCAGAGTGAAATTATTCTTGGAAAGCTAAGTAATTTGAATATTTTTGTCCTTGAACAAAAATGAGCTCGGGTAAAAGGGGAGTAAAGGAATAATTGAATATATTTAAGAATCCTTTCGTGAAAGAGTATATGTATCTTGTATATGTAATATAAGTGCTTTCCAAATACGTATTGCTGGGAACAACTTATAAAAGTAAATAAAAACTATTTAAAGATTTAATCAGAGCTTTAAATAAAATGTCAATGAATTATTCATTGTCACTAAGAATAAAAATAAACTAAATGGGAGTTAAGGAAATATTGAATATGTAAATATGTACCTTCCTGGAAATAATTTTAAAAAGTAAATTAAATGTGCACTACCTTTTTAAAAATGATTCTAATTAATTAATTCTAATTCAGTAATTTATAAATTTCCTACAAATTATTTAACTCAAGCCTCTAAGTAGGCAACATATTTTTAACGGAATTTATTTCCTCTCAACCGGAAATTAATTTACTTAGACAAACGAGAAACTCAATCCACTTTTCCCCATAACAAAACTGACCACACTTGTTGACCAAACAGTCTAGGCCTAGTTATTAGCCTTTTTCCCCACCCAAAAAACGAGACAGACTTAATTAATAAATATGTCTAAGGGAATCATAACCAACGGATCTACTATATAAGCATTGCCAAGGCTTTTTATATAAATGAATTTTTCGCACTTGATTTGATTTGTGATTGAGCAATACGGTTGATGGAATAACTAACGGAAAAACGTAAACATTCACCTGTACACTCACCTGATTGATGATACTGAGTCGTCGCTCGAAACTAAATGCAATCACGCAGAACAAACAAATCGCAATGGAAACGACGGTATGCTGCAGGAAGAATGTCATGCAGACACAAAACGATGGCGTGACATTCAGGGAGACCAGCAGCCGGAACACTCCCACGAAATACACTCCCAGAATTAAGAGTTTGAAGACCAGAACCAATATCGAGTACCGAAAGATCCTTGAGTACTTGACCCTTATGCCGATATTTGAGAAATTCGTATCCAAACTGTGCAGTATGGTTAGAGTTCCCAGCAGTTTACAGCGTTTCAATATGGCCGAGGTGTAGATCACAGCTCCTGCTATAAGACCATTGAAAATCTGCAATCGATCTCCAATGGTGGAGATCTCTGTGCGAAAGAAGTAACCCACAATGGATTCTCCTTGGCGCAGCGATGATATATAACAAAAGCCACACAAACATATGTAAATGAAGATATTAAAGACACCAAAACAGGACATCTTGAGATACGATTCGCCCATCTTTTTCTTAACCACATGGAAGGGTGTTAGTCCGTAAAGAAAAGTCAGAAAGAAAAGCGGACGCAGAGCTTCGTACACCTGCGAGGATATAAAGTATTTGCGCACTCGTCGTAACGCGGACATAATGGCGAAATCGAAGCTATATACCGGAAACCGGAAATGAAAACAAAACACAGCGCAAAGCACCACCGTTCGGGTGAAGGAATCAACGCGAACTGACTGGCAAATGGCAAAAAAAAAAGGAAAAATAGCGACTGCCGAGCGAAGGATGCAAACGAAGTGAGGACGCCATAAACGACAGGACAAAAAGGGAGCAGGGAACAGGGGAGAAGATAAGTTGAAGTGGTGCAAAGAGGATATAAAAATATAGAAAACAAATGCCGTCTGCGGAAGTTGTATCCGGCGCAAAACTCATTATTACGTTGTCTAGGATTCCCAACAACAAGTGGCATTCGATAGCAACAAGTGTTTTTTTATTCACTCATTCCAATTTAATGTCAGTGTTGGCGATTTGTTTAAAACATATCTATAACTTATTTCTTTAAAAAAGAGTTATTTTTATACCCTTGCAGGGTATTATAATTTCAGTCAGAAGTTTGCAACGCAATGAAGGAGGCACCTCCGACCATATAATGAATATATATTCTTGATCAGGATCAACAGCCGAGTCGATCTAGCCATGTCCGTCTGTCCGTCTGCCCTTCTGTCCGTCTGTCCGTCTGTCCGTCTGTCCTTCTGTCCGTCTGTCCGTCTGTCCGTTTCTACGCAAACTAGTCTCTCAGTTTTTAAGCTATCTGAATGAAACTTTGTAGTTAGCCTTCTATATACTCTCACTCGTATATATGTCGGAACGGGCCGGATCGGACGACTATATCATATAGCTGTCATAGGAATGATCGGAAAATTTTTACAAAAAAAATTATAACATTTTCAGTTTTCAGCTGATTTTTATCAAATTTGAGATATAGCCATTTTATTATACTCTACAATTCTGTGTAAAATTTTATGAAAATCGAACTACTATATCATATAGCTCCCATAGGAACGATCGAGAAATTAATACAATTAAAAATTACAACTATTTCAGTTTTAAACAGATCATCATCAAGTTTGAGGTGTAGCCATTTTATATTAGTCTTAAATTTAGTGTAAAATTTCATAAAAATCGGACGACTGTATCATATAGGTGCCAAACAAACGATCGTTTGGTGTAGAGGAAAAATGCAAATCTGTGAACTGCAAATATAATATGCTTAGGTGAATGAAATGAAAACAGGTGTTACTTCATTGTTTTTAATCATAAATATATATAATTTATATTGTAGGGATTCCTAGTCATAGAAGTTCAAGGTAAGTACACTAATCATATATTAAAAACTTATTTTATATACAAAAAAAAACATGAATAATTTTCTTAATACCTTTGAAGTTAGCTAAGTATTAAGAGGTCAAATATTAAATATATTATAACTAAGCCAAAAATGCATTAATTTCAGTTTTATTAGGGTAACAAATCTGCATACTCAATTTAAAAATTAAAAAAATTCAAATTTTCGTCAATTTTTCACCATTTTAACGATACCCCTTATAAAAATTTAAAATTGTCAAAAATTTGAAAAAATTAAATTTATGCCGGACCTGGCTAGATCGATTCGGCTGTTGATGCCGATCAAGAATATATATGATTAATAAGATCGGAAATGACTCCTTCAATAAGTTTCAAGCTTTCGACTGAAAGATAGGCTTTGCTTAATTATTTGGTACATAGAGCGCTCTCCTCTGCGATTCTCAAGTCTTACACTTAAGCAAGGCCCTAGCTAGAGGAAGTTTAGTTTTCTTCTTCTTCTTTTATATAAATTACTAATTTAGTGCTTGGTGGTTGATAGACTTTGATCAAGTGGATGTGGCAACCATGGCTAGATCTAGTCGGCCGTTGATGCTGATCAAGAATATATATGAATAATAGGATCGGAAATGACTCCATCACTAAGTTTCAAGCTTTCGACTGAAAGATAGGCTTTGTTTAACTATTTGGTACATAGAGCGCTCTCCTCTGCGATTCTCAAGTCTTATACTTAAGCAAGGCCCTAGCTAGATGAAGTTTAGTTTTCTTCTTCTTTTTGTGTGTTTTTTATATAAATTACTAATCTAGTGCTTGGTGGTTGATAGACTTTGATCAAGTGGATGTGGCAATCATAAAAATTATAGTTTTCTTAATTAAGGTAGGACGTTAATAAAATATCTCTTGATAATTGAAACCAAAACAAGGCCCAAAAAAGCCAAGATACATGAAAATATGGTTTATATTAAATTATTGTTTAATTACCATACCCTTGGCCGTGTTGACTAGCTTATTATTGATCTCGAAAAGTCTTCCAAGGGATTTGTAGGGATTCCTAGTCATAGAAGTTCTATATGCAAGGGTATATAAACTTCGGCGTGGCGAAGTTAACTTCCTTTCTTGTTATAAGATAAAAGAACTAGAAAGAATAAGCTTTAAGTTATAGAAGTTTAAAAGAGAAACTCCTTACATTTAAACCAATTTTTAATTCGTATTTTCTTCTTCAGTCTATGGTTTTATTTATTAAATTCCGTTAATAAATATAACCAGAGAAATAAATTGAAAGATATATATATACATAAAGAGATATAAACCCCAAATCAGCATCACTATCCTTATGTCCTTGTGATAGATGCTTCGATTTAATTCAGTTGTCAGTCTGTAAAGATAACTCCTGCTGGCAAATATGTGAATATCCTTGTGTGTGTTTCTATGTGCTCCGTGACGAGCAATTCATTATCTTTATTATCAAGGGACTCGAAAGAGTCTCAAGTCTAGGATAATCGCATATCTGGTCACACTCGAGTAATGTCTGCGATATATGGAAAGGAAGATGAAGGATGCAAATGGAGGGGTGAATGTGTTCCTGGCCATTGGTTGCGCCATAAGCTTATCGGATTTCACCATTCAGCTTCTGGCTCCTTGTGCACAGGGATTACACTGATTGACAGGTGAAATATATGATAATTGGATGGGGAAGTTCCGATTGGGGAAATCAGTTGGCACTTGGGTAATATAGGAGAAGGTACTTGTTGTTTATATTATATATTGAAATCTTGTAAAGAGTATCTATTTATTATTGCTCTACTAACATTTAAAGTGACAGATATATTTATAAGATTATTTTAAAAGACCACTCACCTTGTGGAGACAACCTATTCGCCTCTGGACCGACCTCGTCATCAGACAGAACATGCAAATGGTAATCGAGGTCACCATAAGTTCGAAAATAAGTATAAAAGTCAGCTGCCAGGAGGCATGTACATCCATTTTGGAAAGACAGACCAGGCAGGTGGTCAACAGGAAAGCATCCAAAAGGACAACTAATGATATGACCAGAATCACCAGACCCACGACCGCGTGGAAGTTCACCGGACACCTGAGTCTCTCCAATCGTTGATCCACCTCGTTCATGGTGTAAACCGATCTCAGGAAGTACTTCCGCAGCAATAAAGGCACAATGAAGATGAATATGGCCACTATAATCCCACCGATATCATGCATCCGAGTGCTGACCTTGGAGACATGGTTACTCATGAAATAACCAATGAGACTCTCATCGTTCAGGTTGATGTGGACATAGCAGTAGGCGAGGAGCAGCCACCGGATGATGGCATTGAGGAAACCATACCAGGATTGCTCCAGGGAACTCTCGCCATGGGTATTCCTTCGAACGAGGAACGGAGTGATGCCAAGACCAAAGGCAATGGCTACCATCAGGTTGATGGAACCATAACAATCCCGGACACTCATCCAATACCGCAGATGGTTCCGGAAACCACGGACCGTATCCAGACCGTTGCGTATCATCGTTGCACTCCGAATAAATTGGATTTCAACGCCTAATTGAGGTTGACTCATTTCAGTGGAGTGCCCTTCTTATCGAAGATAAAACGAAAATGATATAGTACACATGAAATAAATATATATATTTACAAACTAAAACAAATATATAAGTTGATAAAACTTCTTATGTGAGAATATTATTTTGGTCCCTTTATCAATTTCTTATCTTTTCTTAAAGGGGTAAATATTAAGAGGTAAATGATTTAAACTATTGCCAAATTCGTAATTTATATATATCATATGTAAAATATATTTTAAAAATAATACAACTAATACTACTATTAGCCATAAAAAATATTTGTATATATTGTATTGAATAAATTTTAGTTGCAGTATATATGTATATATATAGCATAATAACAGAATGGTTAATACACATTTTTGCTTGGGGCTTATTAAATGTTTACATACAAAATAGAAAAATACAGATTTATTAAATATCAATCAAATTTTAAATATTACTTTAATATTTATATAATATTTGCATGTGTTTTTTTCTGTGTATTAACCTTTATTGTTACAGCAGTAAAAGGTACAAACTTAATTTGTAGCAATCGAAAATTGGTATCTGCCAAAGGGTTGACGGAATCTTCACCCACAAGCAATAATCTACATTTAAACCAGTAATTATAAGTGTAATAGTTATTAACCACTAGAGTTAGGAATTATATGTATTAAATTGCAATAAAATAGATAATAAATGCGTGTATTTTTATTTATGAAAATGTTTAATATCAACTAGTTAACATATTTATACTTTAATGATAAAATTTCTTATGTACTATGGATTGAAAATTAAATAATTTTACAGGCAGTGTGCATTATAAAGCCTGTTTATTTATAGATTATTAACTATAAGAAATAATACAAATCAGTTTTTACATTAAGATGCAAAATAAACAATATTCTTTTAATTACAGTACCATATTATTATTTCCAGTTACTCAAACCAGAACTTACTTAACTCCTTTTTATGATGCCTTCACGGGTTTATTTATTGCGAAAGCCAAACGAAAGCTCAGTAGCAGCAGATGCAATACACAAATCCACATTACCAAATCTTTGCAAAACAAAAAAAAAACATATCCCAAAGAGACAACAAACCCGGAGACCATCATCTTCAACTACTTCGCCGGCAAAGTTAACAATGCAAACGAGGTTGCACAACGGATTCCCCTCCTCCGGTTTAATGAGCTCCCAGCTTCCAGTTTCCATCTCAGCTTAGCTCAGCTGCTGCATCGTGCTTTTGTGCATTTAATCACATGTCTGGCTCAGAATTTTTGTCGCACAATTTGGCTAACAACACTTCAGCAAATGCCAGTCAAAACAATAACAGAGTGGCAGAGAGTCTGCTTTGGTTTTGTTTTTCCCCCCAAACAAAAAATTCTGGCAGCAAGCTCATATTTCTGACAATGGCGCCGGCAATAAACAAATTCAAAGACTTTGAATTTTTGTTTATTTATTCACACACGTGCTACGCAATGCCAACACTTTTTAGTAAAAAGTTTTTACATATATGCAAAAATGCGGGAATTTGCAAATAAATTAAATAAATATTAGGGCTTTGGGAAAAGGAAAAGAAATGCAGAAAGTGTGCTGAGTTTTCAGCTAAAATTATATTAGTATTAATTAAATTTTTTCTCAATATTATTTGTATATTGTATTGTTTATTCTTGTATTATGCATAAAACTTTAAATAATTATATAAAAACATTGACAAATATCATTAAACTTATCGCTTGAATCAACCACTTAAACATATCCAATCGTTGTCAGTTTTATTTGATCAAAAAATATCTTTCTTCGATATCCGCTTTAAAACTCAAATAAATTTATTCAATTTAAGAAAAACAATGACCATAATATCGTTTTACCTAAATAAATATTATGCCAAAAATGAATATAACAAACAAAAAACGAAGCAAACATTTTTCCCTTGACCAAAACTAAAATGAACCAAACAATTATTTGTACAATTTTGGATTCCAAGCGATTTGATGCGAATTTATTTCAGGGCCAAAAAATGATGAAGGCTTTCCTCAATTGACAAAAAAAGAGACTACAAAAAATATACTTATAACCACACATAAATGAATTAAATGCTGGTTGATGGTGGAAAATGCTTTGGATAATCGTTGGCTGACCAAAAATAGCGAACCTCTGACATTTTGGCCATCGAAAAGTGGCGAAATAGTTTTGATTTTTTTTGGTTTTTTATGTATTTTACAGAACCCCAAGGTGCCGACGCCACGTGATGCGGTAAGCAGTCAAAGTCAGTCACTGGGTTATGGTAACCTCTAAGAAATATAAACATATATAAAGCCCAAAAAGCCATCGACATCTTCTACATTCATTCGCCGAGAGGAAAAGAAGATGTTAATTATCATCAGCCCAAAAGTTAATTATGTTATGTTATTGTAATTTATCATTGTTTACGCTTTGTGCCCGCACTTCTTTTCAAACAACAGACAACAATTTTCCCAAGACTTCACCTGTCCCTGATATCAAAATTGTATATGTTTATGTATTGTCCAGAATAAGTCATTTAAAGTGAAGCAAAGTTTGTTGAAAAGTTAAGAGGACTTGGAAAAGTTAATGTATAATTATGAAATGATGGCCTTAATATTTTTAGTTAATTTATTTTCTTTGAAATTGTATACAATGTATACAATTATTATAACATTTGTTTTATTCTTAATATTATATATTACAATGGTACCTAATAATCTTAAGATATATTTCTTTAACTTGCTTTGTTGTTTGGTTTATTATCTTCAACAAAACTACTAATTCCTACCTCTAAATTAGTACAATTAGAAAGCTCCTCTAAATTACATTTTATAATACAGTAAATTAAAGTTTTATTTAATGCTAAGCCACCTGTACTTGAAAAGGTAACCACATACTTAGGCCCTGTGAATGCCACTCAATCAAAATAAAACATAAAACCCATTTTGTTTTGTTTTGTTACAAACATTTCTTCAAGTCGATAAAGAGTTTTTATGTCAATCTAATGATGACTGACTTTCCTCTTGGCAATCTTGGCCACGCAATGCGAATATTGCGTAAGCAATCGCTACTCAAACAATGAGACCCAATTGTAATTAAAAAGTTTTGGGATGGTTGATGTCAAATGATAGATTAAGCGACCCAATTATGAGTATGTGGCACTGAGGCTGCGTGGGATTTTGGCTGTTGACTTTTGTTGCCAATTTCGTGAGATATGTGTGGCAAGGAAAGTGAAATTGCAGGCAATGGAAAATCACAGTCCCACACCATTCGTGAGCCATTGCTGAGGGCCATAAAATATCAGTATTTATATATACTAGCTACACTCGGTAGAATGAACTTATGATAATCAAGGATCTTCTAGGAAAATTTGAAAAAATTCAGGATTTAAGATTTATTTCAGCTAATTATTAAGAAATTGTTAGATAATAAGAAGTCTAAGCTTGTAGCTATAAGAATTTGTACGATTATAAAACTTGAACTATTTGTTTTGATAATTAAACTAATAAATAAATTTAGAAGTAGTAGTATTTGCTATAATAAATTATCAAATTTTAGTCAAATGAATGAATTTCAGCGAAGGATTAATTTCTGATCCTATAAATCATATATATTATTGATCAGCATTGATAGTCGAGTCGATCTAGCCATATCCGGTTGAAAAATACATTTTCAAATTTATTTTTTTCAATTTTTACAAAAAATGATAAGGGGGTTACATCGTTAAAATTGTTAAAAATTTATGAAAATTTCAATTTTTTTTGAATTTCAAATAGAGCTTGCAGATTTATTAACCTAATAAAAATAAACATAGGAAAGCTTTCCGAATTAAAATTAATGTATTTTTAGCTTAGCTTGGCTTGATTGATTTATGTTACTATCCGAATTGTAAGCTTTAAAGGTAGATAATCTTTGGGTCTTTCTAAAAAAATATTAAATACTTAACTTGATTTTATATAGTTTTTGATCTATAATTTTCTTTTAACAAGAAGATAAGCAACCTTCTAGAGAATTGGAATTGGAATTAGTAATCTTCAGTTTTATTCATATAATTTATTATATAGACTCACAAATAGTCTACCATTCCGAGTCCCCACTGTAATGCTTTTACAAACGCTATATATCCATGACGCCTAAGGTCTCTCGTACTTAACTTCATGGTAAGCGGTAAGCGGAGTTTTAATTTTTTATTGTTGCTCCGCCGTCGAGACCTATTTTTAATTGTTGCTCGCCTCTGGGTAACCCATTCGCATTCGCATTCGGAGTATGGGGCATGGAGCATGGAGTGCAGATCTAATTGCAGCCACAGCCATGGATATGCCTTTCGGATTGTCTATCCATTTATTTCGTTCATTTTCGGGTGTTATTATTTGTTTTTTGTGCGGCGGCCTTTTGCCAGTCAGCGTTCTTCAAGTTCAAGTTCGGGGCTCCAATCATTTGGCGCTGTTCGCACTTAATGATTTCACACATCTCCGACTGCTCCGACTTCAGTTTCGAGATCGGATGTTTCGGATATTCGAGATGCATAAATCACTTAGGCAAATGCGTTCAAAGTCACAAACAAAATCAAGAAATGCAGGCATCATTTGGAGGCACGAACTTCAAAATACACTAAGTTGGACTTGAATCAATTAGTAAACTGTATCGTATGCTTCGCTGTGCAGAAAATTGAGATTGTGTTCATAATTAAGCTTTAATATTTAATTGTTTAATCAAATAATTATTTAGTATTATATTGCAATAAAGTTAGAGATCAGTGTTGAGAGATTAGGAAATTGTTGAGATCTCTAGAAGGCAGATATAGAGTTATACCTTTACTTTGCAATGTGCCTCACAAAAATTCCGAAAATTCTTTGAGGAGGAACCTTATAAAAGGCATTTTATTTAAGCTATAAGCAGAGGGATCTTTATGTATTTCATATTATTATTAATTAACTAACTAACTCTTTAAATCAAGGGTAAACTATAAAAAGATGATGCACAGCAGCGATGTACTGGCAAATTGTGAAGTGATTGCGAATCGATTTGAAGTTGTTGTCTGCCAGCCACTCTACCGCACTTGGCACTTGTGAAAAATGCAATTAAATTTAATTTACTGAACGACCTCCCAACGGATGCTGCCATATGTATATTTTCATGTTTTATGTATTTGCTCGAAATGCAATTTGAAGATGCGCTCGAGGTGCGTGAGAGGACACTTGGTACAGATCAGAAGCTGAATCGCCTTGTAGGGGTGAACTTGAGCACCTCAAAACGCCATTGGAGTTTTCAGCTCTAAAAAATTCAACATTATTAGGCAATATTTTTGGGCCGCAGCACAATGAAAATTAATGAATATTATTGCTGCTGCTGTTTGCTTGTGCTCTCATTAGGCAAATCAGAAAAATAACATTAATCAAGTCGAGTGTAGTAGGCCCACAAAAAAAATTAATTTTTAAACCATTTAAGCCCGAGTATTTATTTATTTATTTTGACTATTTCTTTGCTGTTGCTTCTCCAACACCTTTTCGGCTAATGATGAGCAAATTGTGCCGGAAGCAATTTGTATCTCCATTGATTTTATTGACACCGTTTTGCTTTGTCCGAAAAATATTCAATTGTTACATAAGTGTATTGTACAAAATCACAAAAAATACAAGAAAATTATGACAATAATTAAATTTAAAGCCGCGGGGGTTCGCCTTAACTCAAGGCAATTAAAATAAAATCAAACACAAATGCATAATCATTTCTTTAAACAAAGCTTGTAACGGTTATCGATGGCTTTTCACACTTTTTTACGACAACAACGATAGCAACAAAGAGTTTGCAAAGCAAAACAAAAGACTCAGGCAACGAACTTGCAACGCGAACATGTTCGAAGCTGCAGAAGATGCACTCAAACTGCAGCTTCGGGCCAAGTTAAGCCAAAAACCAGTAGCCCAGTGACACATTTATGGCAACAGTAGCCGCAACTGTCGATTTACGGCCCCCAAACTCAATTAGCCATCGAATGCAACACATCTACAGCTGAAATTAAAATAAAAAACACTAAAAACATCAAATAACCAAGCCCCGTTTAAGCCAAGCCTCCAAAGCCCCCTCTGGGTTTGAGCCATCACATTCGAACGTGTTCGAACATCAGACAACGATGACGGTTTTAGTTGTTTTTTTTACTCGTTTTGGTTTGTTTTTGCTTTTTGGGGACAGGCTATAAACCGTGGCAAGATCGTCAGTGCGTTCAGTTGGTAAAAGTGAAGCGTTGCGTGGGGTTGTTTTCCCACAAGCAAAAAAGTACCACAACCTCAGTTGGATTTCGAGTTCTTTCAGCTCCGTTCGTGTCGTTTTGCATCAATCTAAAAGGTGATTATCATACATCACAATCTCATATCCTTTAAGGACCAAGTGACTGTAAAAAATAAGTGTGTAAAGTTATATTTAAGAAAATGAAAACAATTATTTGATCATTTTAATTGTTTTGTGTCTTTTCTTCTGAGTAGTAATTGTGTTTTGTGTTCTTTGCTAAGTGGGTCAGTTGTAGAATTACAGTTTTTGTTTCTAAAATAATTTCAAATTTCAATGTTTTAGATTTGGTTATTAAAGATTTTGTAGTTTTTCGATGTAAAATGTAGTTTTGGCTTTTTATATAGAATTTGTGATCATTTTTATCTCTGTTAGTAGCATTTTTTATTATCTTTTTAGACCTGAACCTTTAATAGGTTTTTTTTTAAACAAATTAGTAATATAAACATTTAGGAAAAGGTATTTTAATTATGTATTTTTCAAAGTATTTATTAAATTCTCAAAAAGTATTTGTGCAAAAAGGAATAACTCTTAGAAATCTAATTTAAAACCTTCAATAAAAATAAAATACAATTTGAATGAGAAACTATATTAAAATATATTTATAAACTGGGTTACTCAAAACTTAAATATAAGAGATGCATAAGTTGAAGTTGAAAACATAATAATATAGAACAATAATAGAAATAAACTAATTTTATAAAATCAAATTCTGTTTCACCAAAGTCTTCTTGGTATTCTATTTATAAAATTCATAGATAAATTTAATAGGCTTAAAATCTTTATTAAAATCTATATAAAGACGTCAAATAGATACCAGAATTTTCACTCTTTTTTCCAAAATCAAAGGATATCAATTAACTATAGAACTAGGTTTCAAAACATAAATAAAGCCCAACAGCTGGCACATAATTTTTACTTATTGCCAACTTAAGCATGACTTAGAATACTATTTTTTTTGACTGACAGTGATAAATAATTTGTTCTCCAATGAGTTCTGTAGAAACCAAACTGAAATAATTCCGTCACAATGCATTCTGTCAGTTTGAAGAGCAAGGCAAGCAGTGTGAAAAATGTTGTTAGTAAAGCCAACAATGATGGAGTTCTTTTTTCGTTATTTACTCTTTTTTTGTTCTTTTTTTAATTTTTATTACCAAGCATGCCCTCGTTTTGGCCTGTTTTTCTCGCCCACTTGCCACCCCCAGGGCCATGCATTGAAGCAGAAGATTACGCAATATGTGGCAGTGCAAATGAGTGGAAAATCTAATTTTCCAGCAGCAAAAGCAAAAGCAGTAGCAACATGCAAATATTCAGACAGTAATTACCAAAAATGTCAGGCACCTCCTACTGTTTTGGCTGCAGAATATCTTTTGGGGTCGTAAAGTCAATAATATTTAATGGCTGGCAATAAAGGCAAAGTTGATAGGCCGCCACTGAATGGTTTTTTAAAATCTCAGCGATGTGACAGGTCACCAGTTTAAACAATTTCAATGCCACTTCTCATGGCAATTGCGGAGGAGGACTTGCAGTAACTGCAGCAGCAGCATCCAAGTCTGCAATCTTTGAAAATTCCAAAGTAGAAATCACCAGTCACGATTCCGTCTCCAATTGACAACAAAATAATTTATCTCCGCGGAATGCGGGAAAGTCTTTACTGGCAACCAGCAAAAAAAAGTAAAGAAAACCAAATCTCTCTGGGCTTCTCCTGTCACTCTTTTGGATGGATTCTCTTTAAATGAAAGTTAGTATTGCCCCTGGGCGTGTCTTCTCCGCCCCCCTGTTTTTTTTTTTTTTGCGAATGTATTTCTGGTTTTACATATGCTAATTTCATGCCTCTTCAAGATGAGTGACAATTTTCAGTTCTGAATTTATTACAGCTTCCATTTTGATGTTTTTGATTATGGGTTGGAAAATCGGCAAATAAAAAGGGGCACTCAGTTATCTTTTGACATAATTTAGGTGTATATTTATATATGATATAAATTATATTTTTGAGTACTTAATATTATATTTAGAATTTAAGCAGTGTTGAGGAAATGGATAATAATTTTAAATGGGTTATCTTTAATAGATTCCAAGATTTGAACTTAAAGTTTTAGGCCTTTAAATACATTTCGAGTTATGTTTTATCAATTAAAACTGCATAAATATTTATACAATTAATAGATTTTGATAAAATTTTCATATTGCTTATAATTTTCTTATAGTTATTTCTTTTTCCAAGCACTTTAAGATCTTAAATGAATGAAAAAGACATTAAATATAATTTGCGTTTGTTTTAGCATTCAAAACTTCATTAAGTATGGGTGAAAATACTAAGTGCGAAATAGAATATAAAGTATTTGTATATTCAAAAATATTTATTTATTTAATTACTGATCTGAATTATTGAAGGATATTAAATGAGTGCAAAAGTAAAAAGTAAAAAAGTAAAAAGTAAACAGTAAAAGGTAAATGAAATTTGAATTGTGAAAAATACACATATTTTTTCAAATATTTTGAATAATAATAGTTAAAGTTAATTCGAGTTTAATAATAAACAGGAACATTCAAGATTTAAACACTTTTTTAATATTTCTTTCGAAAATTCTATAATTATGCTCTGACGACAGTGTGTATTTCCCCGAATTTTTTAAAAATATTTTCCCTTCTCCCACCGGCTTGTTTATGTGGCCAACCATCAATTTGGGCAATTCATTAGCACCTGGCCAAGCAGATGAAAGTGAAGATGCCCAGACACCTGAGAAGATTCCAAGCTTGAACCTCTTACTATCCCCTCCCTCCAGTAAACTCCTCCACCATCTCCTCCTCCTCCTCCTCGTATTTTTTTCCACCTGACGCGCTGTCAATATTTATTGATATGGCCTGAACATACATATAAATACATATTTATGCGATGACCAAAACGTACGAAGAAACATGACCATTTTCACTATCATTTCGCTTCATTGTTATTGTTTGCAGCGCTGACAGTGCACTTGTCTGTGGCATTTTTGTGTTTTGCTCATCCGAGTAAAAAACCAGTAAGTCGCAGGTGCTGACCAGTAAAAGTAATGCTCCTTCGGCCTGTCTGCTCCGCAAACTGGCCTCCGCCGTTGACAGACTTTCTTCTACCGTCTGTCCAGTTTTTCTGCATATTGTTTACTCTGCTCTCGGCGGCCAGCGGCTTCTTCTTCGGGCCAGACCAGATCTGGCCAAGACCAGACCCAGGCAGTGGCAATTAAAGCGTCGCCACCGTTTCGCAGATGCATCCGCGTGAAACTTTCATAACGACAGCAGCATCCTGCTCCCTTTAGATTCCCCCCGAAAGAGGTCAAGTCACTTGACCCAATGCCCGGACGGATATCGCAATCCATTCTAATTAGCATTAAGACAGAGACTGCCTTAAATGGGGGCTTTATGTAGATGCATCAAGGTGGCTTTTGTGGCTTCCAACTGGCCATCAAGTTGGCCAGAAGCAGCAGTGGCAACAGCAGCACCTGGCAAATCCGTCTTCTTAATAATTACTGTCATCGCTTCACGGCGAGGCGTTGCTTGAAATCAGAAATCAGAAACCAGAAACCCGTCTTGGTCTTCGTTCTAGAAACGAGATGCAAGTGCAAGTTTCTCGATGGTTTCTCTAGAGAAATGCCTGCTTATCGATTGATTTCTAATTAACAGGAAATGGCAAAAGCCGATCTAGGTAGCTAACATTAAATTATAGAGGAGGGGTTATAAAAGAGAAGCTAGAAAAGTTCTTATAGGATTTTAAATGTATCTTGTCTAAGAAAGTATTAAGGTTTAAGGAATTTATGGTTAAATAAGTATGAAACGAACAAATCAAAGGTAAAGGTGACCTATTAAAAAGAAACATATACAGGATTTAACATATAAACTATTATAGAGACAAGTTAGAAAAGTTCTTACAAGTTTTTAAATGCATTTGTTGTAATTTATTTTAAAAGAGTATAAAGTTTTATGTACTTAAGGTATACTAACTAAAATGACAGATAATAGTTATATTTAGTTTAGTTTAAAGTTAGTATATTAAAGCATAAATAAATATAGGTGTCTGGCATTACATTACACAGGGTACTTAGATGAAAGTTAAAAAAGTTTTGCGATTTTTAATTGCATTTTTTATGGTGTATTCACATTGTTAAGATTTATGGTAAAATATCTAGGAAAAGAACAGGAAAAGATATTATTTATGATTAAGTTTTAATGTGGAAACAATGTTCTCAAAGCCATAAAATGATTTGATTGAGATTTGAGTAACAAGTTATAAGTAAGTTCATGACGATATTTATGGAAGCTTCTCATATTTGTTAAGAGTTTCTAGCAATGAAAAATGTTTACAATTTCTTAGATCATTTAATTATGCTTTGAAATTCTATACCAAAGATACTTTTTTATCTTAACATTCTTACTTATTTTATGAAAGATAATTAAGCCGTAAAATGTGCTGGTAGATTGTATTAAAAATAAATGAAGAAAAATCTTAAAATATCAAAAATTAATAGTAAAAATATATTACAATATTTATACACATTTTAAAACCCACTTTAATTAATCGAAAACCATTTGCCTAAGGCGAAATTCTCCTCAAAAATTGTCGATTGGCAAATAGTTTAGTAACTCTTTTTTTTTTTTTTTGAACCCATACACACTTCTTCACAAGATTTAGACACCTGTTCCGCTCTGAGCAGCTAATGACAATTTTTTAGCCATTTACTTCACCTGAAAATATGCTCGAGGAGGCGCGTGATACATAAATAAAATTTGCCTGCAATCTATGAGGAAAAATCTGGTAAAATAAAAAAACCAGTTGGCTTAAGCCAAGCACAGATCGCTGTAAAATGTAATGTATAAGCTGGAGATTAATTGCCATGTATGGGATGGTGGGAGGGGTTTAAAAAAATGTATAAACAACAAGAAAAAATAATGTTTGGCAGATGCAACCACGAAGCCAGCACAAGTACGTACAAGTGGCTTGGAATTAATTATCTAACACAGGTTTCGGAGTCGGAATGCTGCACAGATGTGTGCTTGGAAAAACAAAGATTTCGACTGCTCTTTTTTATATTTTTTCTTGATTTTGCTATTTTGTAATATTTATTTGGCTATTGAGCACGTTTTGAAGGTTGCTTTTTGCACGCCGCACACAGGTGAATTATATAAAAGAGATGAACATTTAAAGAGCCTAAAATCATCATTAGTCATTTAGCCATCAAAGCAAAAATGCCTTTCTCCCACAATTTATATTTACAAGTGCCTTGCATTGAAGACTTCAATAAAGCAAATATTATGTAACCGAAGAAAACGAGACCCAAAATCCCAAACAAAAAAAAAACATAAAAAAGAAAACCAAATGAGACAAAAATGAGAGCTCCCCAAGTGCTCGAAGACAATTGGTTCGGAAATATTTCAACGGCTGCCAATGCCCTTACCCACGGCAATTAGCAGAGGTAAAAAAAATACCTGCATACATACACCTTAAATAGGAAGAGCAAATGAGGCAACGGAAATTCAAATTACAAAATTTACAAGCCGTGAAAAAAAGGGGAACAAAAAATACAAATAAAAGCACATGCAATTGCGCGTGGCCAAAACTGAAGACGACAATTTTTTTGTTATCAGGCGGAAGAGTTTCGAATATTGGCCAGGGCGACTGATCCGGCAATATACACATGAGTAATGCATGACCATGGACGAAGCCCCGAACTCGGGCAACTTTCTCCATTAACTGAGAGTATTTCACCGCTTGGTATGCGCAAGACAAACTCTGTTTGAGCCAGAAATACTGAGCCAGAGCTGGAATGCGTCTGACTAATGGATGGGCATAGCATGTGGAATGGTTCCCAACGAGAGGAGAGTGGAATTGGGGAGTTCCTTGGCTTTGGCTAGGTCAGGTTTTGTTTTTTTTTGGGCTAGGTCAGTTACGGTTTGGTAACTTTTTATTAAGGTCAGCCATAAATGCTATTGATTCTGGGAAAATAAAAGGTATTTCGCTTAATTCAACTTTTAGGTTGATTGATTTAATAGAAATTAGTTTTTAAATTGTAATAAAAAACTTGGGTTAACCATATATATTAGCTTTTAGATACAAGGATTTGAAAGAATATTTTACGCTTCCGTTTTCAGAATTCGGGATACTAACTCTAAAAAACAGAATGTGTTAAATATTCTTTCTTCTTAAAATAATCATTTCAGGACACCAATTCTAAAAAATAAAGCTGAATATATTATTTCTTCCATAAATTTACAAAAATCTTAAGGCACTTGTCAGGCATAAAATTATATAAGCATTTACCCTTTTTATATGATTTATATTTTAACTATTTATAACTAGTTTCAACAAACAAACTCGCAATATTCTTGATCAAAAAAATATAAAGAAAAATATATATAAGAAAGATTTATTTACCGAAAGATTTTATTTGAAATATATATTTATTCTATGATTAATTTCTAGACAGATTTACTATAATAAAACATTTTGTTTGAAATATATAAAGGATTTATTCTATGATTGAATTATCTAGCAAGATCTAAAAAGTAGCAAGAAATATAATATTAAGATTTATTATACCGAATCATTTTATTTAAAATAACTAAAACATTTATACTATGATTAATTAAATAAACAAACAAATATTAACTTGATAAATTTTATTATTAGATAACATTTTTATAAAAAAAAAAAACAGATTAAATATAATTAAATATCTGATCCAAATCAACTTTCTTATTAACTTCATGATCATAATTTTAGTAAATTTATTTCTCCGCTAGATTAATAGTAACCCAATTTTCAATCGTTCAGGTCAATCCCAATCATCAGTAATTTATTTTAACCGATTTTCTCATTTAGTTAGACATAATTAAGTCTTTTTGTTTGGTTTTCAGCACGCGTTTTAGTCATTCCCCCTGCTGAGATCAGCTAATTTAAATCCGGACCTGATTGCAAGTCGATAATTTATATAAGATGTAATTTTGATTAGTTGCCAGAACAACCAGTTGTCGTCCATCAATGGACCCATAAAAATTTGCATACAATTTTCATGTTTAATTAAATTTTGAATTCTTTTTTTATTTACAAATATAAAAACAATAAAGCCATTTGCATAGGGTACTAACTATGATGCATCATAGTATAAACTGTTGCCAAGTTGAGTCTCTGTTGTGAGGGGAACAATTCTCACGTTACGAAATAGAAACCAGGTTGAAGGCCCCTCTTTGCAAATGGAAAACTACTTAATTAGACGAAATGACAATTGTAAGCGACAAATTCCATATACAAAACACACTCAAAATTGATCAAAATCGATGCAAAGCATTTCCAATCACTGGTTTTGCATAAAAAAAACCCAAAAAGCGAATCATCCAAGCGGAAATGGGTTTTTGGGTGGGGCCAAAGTAAAATCAGATCGATTTCGAGTTAAAATCGAATTTTTCTAAACAGTTTTACGCCGAGCTTAGCGGGTTAAATCAGTAGAGATTTGTTGCTGTGGTGTAATTGGTATAGGAATACCTTTAAAATATAAATATTCCTTGATTTCTGACAAAGAAATAGATTAAAGTATTTAAATATGTGTTTTTCCGTGTTTCTTCTTTTAAAATGTTGAATTATATAAGAAACTATAAGAAAGCTTCATTTAATTGTTTATATTTGTTTTTGAATTATTTTATATTTTATTCCTTATTTTTAGCTCTCCAAATATGTCTGTTCTGCGTGCCCTGCTGCTGCTGGCACTGAGCGCCACCATGGCCCTGGCCCAGCGTCGTCTGGCTCTGCCGGATCCCAGGAGCTGTGCGAACCGAGTGCGTCATGCCAGCTACCGGGATGCCCGGGGTGTCTCCCACTCGTACTTCTTCAGCTGGGAGCATGCTCCCACCCGGAGTCTGGAGGTGGACTGGTTGGATGCTAGGAATATCTGCCGCAGGCATTGCATGGACGCCGTCTCCCTGGAGACCCCGCAGGAGAATGACTTTGTGAAGCAGCGGATTGCCCGGGGCAATGTGCGTTATATCTGGACCTCTGGCAGGAAGTGCAACTTTGCTGGTTGCGACAGGCCCGATCTGCAGCCACCCAATGAGAACGGTTGGTTCTGGTCGGGATCGGGGGCCAAGATTGGACCCACCTCGCAGAGGAACACCGGTGACTGGTCGTCCACGGGTGGTTACCAACAACCGCAGCCGGATAATAGGGAGGCTGCCCAGGGCAATGATGAGAGCTGCCTGTCCATTCTGAACAACTTCTACAACGATGGCATCAAGTGGCACGATGTGGCCTGCCATCACATCAAGCCCTTCGTGTGCGAGGATTCCGATGAGCTGCTGAACTTCGTCCGCTCCCGGAACCCCAATGTCCGCTTGTAATTCTTAAACTAGAGCCTAAGCCCTATGGAGATGATAAAATTTACATATTTATGTAGCCTTAAAAAAGGGAACATTAATTGGTTGATGATTGATTGATTGATTTAACGATTGATTCAGTGACTGTTCAATCCAACATTGATGGCTTCCAAAGCGCCTAACATTCGTTTGTTCGGTTTAGTTCTAAAAATCCAAAATTTGAATAACATTTCTGTGTCGATCCGCGCATGATAAACAAAATTGTTAAATAATTTTAAACAAATTGTTAATAAATACGAAAATTGAACCCAACAGTGAAAGACCTCTCTGTGTTTTTTGTTTTGTTTTAAACATTTAATGCGTATATTTGTATTTAGTACGATTTCACTAGAAAATGCATGTATGTAAATATATATATTGTATATATCCGCAGATCTGTTTAATAGGTATATTTCCATTATCTGAATACTTTGGTAAGTTCTGTTTGCTTGCTGGAACTTATTTGTCTAGTTTTGTTACAACATTACAACTAACTTTGTTTTTAGGTTTAGGAATAGATTTAAAATATTCAAATATTTTTTAGCCATTTCGAGTTTGTTTAAGAAGACACAAGGTTAGCAGATTCGATCTAGAAAAGTAACTGGTTCGCACATTAATCTGGCAAATGTTCAAATAATAATAGTAATAATATACAGTTTACAGGCTAAATTTACAACTAATTTCGGTTTGCTGTATCTAAAATATACAAATACATTTTAAGGAAATTTAAAATCCAATTGTTCAACATAAAAATCTAACAACAATCAATGGGGTAAGCTTAAGTTAGGCGTAGAAATTAACAAGTGATTTCTTGGTTAACTGGAACATAGGGAACTTATAGTTCGATTATCGGTTATGCATGTTGTGTGGAGTTCTGTGTATTAATGTGGGTACTGTGGTTGTTGTTGTGGTGGTGGTGGTGGTGGGTGTGGTTGCTGGTATTTTGATCAACAAAATACGGTCCTAAAAAATGGGAGAATTAAAATAAAATGTTAATACAAAATGGTCAAGGCATTTTGGGGGTAAAAAAGCTCAGAAAACACATAGTTTTGGTTAGAATTTTGCATTGAGGCTTACGGTTAGTTTATTTTGGGTCGGATTAATAGCCACCATAATGATGCAGGGGTATTGTTTGCGTTTTTTTGTTTGATTTTCGTGCTGGGTTAGTCACATGCGAGCCCCCTTTAGCCAAGTATCAAACCGTAAAGCCCAAAAGTTGCGCTTTACCTGCCGCCAGACAAGTTCAACTTCAATTTCAACATCAATTTCAATTTCAATTTCAACATCAAACTAGGAAACACCAAACACACGTCTAGGTTACGACTAAATACGTTGTGGTTACGCCTACGCCACTCTGCTGGTGTTATTCTCAAATACAGTGTGCACTTGGTATTCGTTTGCTTTCTGGTTAGATGTGCGTGTATCTGTATCTGAGTATCTGATATCTGAGCTTCGGTTTTGCCGAACTTAAGCAGTACTTGAGTTATGGGATGCGCCGCTGATTGCGTTGAACAAAGCCATGCTGTTGCGTTGATTTATGCTATCGGCATCGTCGCCCAGCGGCTGGAAGGACTCGTCGTCGAGCAACTCACTGAGCGCCTGGCACAGCTTCTCGTAGTTCTCCTTCAGCACATGATGATACTCCTTCTGGTCGGCGCTAATGATCCGCTCGTTAAGGAATAGAGCCTTCTGGCACACAACAATGAAGTCACTGAAAAAAGACAATAAGGATTAATAAAATGTTGATTGGAAATTAAAGAAATATAGAATCCAATTTAGAGAAATTTTTATGAAATCTAATAGGCCACGAAACGAGAATCTGCCTTACATCAAATTGTTACTCCATATATATATATTATACATTCTTTTTATACGGAGCTTTTCTTTTTGTGGGCTGTTTGACTCAGGTGAGTGTATAGCGAAAATTATACGCTACTATCGTTACTCTTTCTTATAACTATGGTAGATGATGTTTATCTAATATCTTAAATACAAAGTAGGTATTAGAACCAAACAATTAAGGGTTCGATCTTGGTAAACAACTTAAAAGTATCTACTGGTAAAAACCAGAGTTCACAAGCCTCGCTCCTTTAAAATTCGCGAAAATCCAGTATATCCACCATTCAATCCATCGGTTGAAAGCAGCACCTACATATGATTAGCGTCTTCTATGACTATTTCTAGTTTCTTTAACTAACCTCTTTAAAAATAATACAAATTTAGTTAAGTAACTAAAAGCCTTACCGAAAGACATCCTTGAGATCACTAACGCGATCAACTGAGAAATTATTGACCACCTTGGCATCCAGGAAGGCATGGGCGTAGGCCAATGGACCCGCATTCACGGTCACAGCCACACTTCCCTGCAGGCGCAACTGCAGCTTCTTGACATCGGCTGGCGGGAGAATGATCTCCTCCAGCTCTGAAACCTTTGATTGCATCTCATCGATGGCCACCTCGATGGGACTCAGTTCTATGATCTCGCGAGCCTTCACGGGTATACGTTTAAGGACATAGGGAAATGAGTATTGAGCTGGGGAAATAATAGCATAATATTAATATTATATTATATGGAAAGTGTAATGAGAACTCACTCTTAATGACCGTCTTGCGTTTCCATTGCTCCTCCACGCTGCCACGAGCTGCTCCCGATTTGGTGAATGGCGTTTCATACATGAATGTGTCCACATCATGATTCTGCTCGAACTCGTTAGCCTTTGATCAAGTTCATCCTTGGAGAAGAAGGGAATTACATGGGTGACCTGTATGTAGGCCAGCTTGGCATCCAATTCGTCAACTTTAACCTAAAACAAGAAGCAACAAGAGATGAGTTTTATACAGTTTTGATAGATTAATTGAAAGAATATAGATAACTTATAAATAGAGATAGTTTAAAACCGATTGTTGATCCCATCTAGTCACCTTTCCAGAAACATTCACATTCAGGGAGCTTCGTTTTCCGACTACTTGCTCACTTACTACCCTCGACTGATGTAGCTCAAACATTAAAACAAATCTACTAGCTTCTAGTAAATTGTTTGTTACTTTTTTACAATACCCACTGCAGACGAAGAGCGAACACTAAAAACCCGCTCCAAAGATTCCAAAATTTCATATACATTTCGGGACCTCCTACTCCTAGTTTCGGCAGACACCACTGGCTGCTCATCACATTCGACATCGACACAGCTGAGTGTCCGTTATGGAGCACATATTTTCTTTTCCGGTTCCACGGATGTCAATAGGAATGATCCATATGGAATGCCCAATCCCGAATAGAACTCAACCCGCGGTGGAGTACTCTCCTCTCAACCCGAATGCCATGGAGTTTGTTCCCTCGCATCGCCAGACCCCGGAAATTTCCAGCATCAACATAAAGACTAAATCAGAGGCCACCACATCAACAACCACATTGGCTCGTCCGGAGATCGTTGGGGATGCCGTAAACCAAGTGGAGAATGGATATTCAGTACACCGCCAGATCTTCGAGTGCCTCAGTCAGCTGGGAGATGAACAAATGCCACTGGAGGAGGTCGCGGTTACTCTGTTGCCCGGCGGTCGAGGCCTCAACATGAGATTCACCACCAAGCAAAAGCCGGGTCAACTATTCCAGCTGCCGGATCCCAACGAAACGATTATCCACAGGGGTCAAACCCTTCGGCTAGAAGTGGGCGATCCCAAGAAGTTGGACAACCGACCAGAGAGTGTCCTGGTGGCTCAGTTCCTCTTTCGCGTCAATGACTTGCTGAGAGAGAAGTACGAGGATGGCGGAGATGTTTCCATCTGCCCCAAATGCACCCTTTGCTCCAATCGCAGCTACACGGAGCTTGAGATCGAGCACCAGATCGAGGGCATTAAGGCTTTCGAAAACTTCACCTTCACCGAATCCACTCGCTACCAGGACTTGGTTTCGCACAAGGCCTTTAAGGAGCTGTGCCGCAAGCTGGGCCTGATTGTGAGCCGGGATCAGATCCACATCAATAGGGCCTGCAGTGGACAGTCGCCGGCTGTCTCACCGCCGCCACCATCGGCCGAGGCCTCGGTGGCCACGATTTCCATTCAACAGACGATCAACGAAATGGAAACGGATGTGGAAGCATATGCAGGGGATGACGAAGCGCAGTCCAATGGACATGACCAGACACCAAAGGTACAAAGTAACTATTCGGTGACACCGGAGACTCCCACAGAATATGTGAGGGGAAAGCTGTACAGGTTAGCTTAAGGGGAAGTATTTCAAGAAATATAACCTAACCATTGACCCTTTCAGATATGAAAACTCTGAGGGATCCCAGTTGGTGAACCAGCTGTCCGAGTTGGGTGCCCAAAGCTCTGAACTCATGACTGTTGACGATAATGACGAATCATCTACACCGACAAATCCAATCATAGCCCCCAGTAAGCCAACAACCTTTCCGCGCGTCTACAAGTCGGCCAAAGCCAGGTGCTCTGTGCGTGGCGGGGGCACCAGCCTCCAGAACGGAGCACAGGCACGCCGGGCAACTCCATACAGTCGAACTCCAGCGCAGATGCCCCAGTCCACACTCACGACCATCCAGAGATGCCGGCTTCCGTCCGGCGGTGGCCAGTTCCAGGGAACCTCGGCCACCGATAGCTGCTCGAAAGCCCGAAAGCTACATACGGAGTCCTGCCTGCCTGCACCGACTCGCAAACAGAACTATCAGCGGGCAATAGCGCCGAAGTCCGAGTTGGGGTGCCAGCAGGCGGGCACCATGAAAGCCAGTATGGCAGGACGCCAGCCCAGACAGGGAAGACAGCCGGCCAATGTGTCGAAACCGCAGTTAAATCATCTGTGAGTAAGCTACCAGAGATTTCTCTTAACAAATTTGATAAAGACTAGCTCTCCAGGTGCAAGGGTGCGGCCCAGGGACCAAATCCAAAGCAGCAACATGGCAACGCCCTACGTATGATACCAAGGAGCACCACCACATCCCTGATGCGTCAATCGGAGGTTAAGCGAGTAGGTTTCTACAAATCAATAATCAATAACGATCCTTTAACTATATGATTCTTTAGCGTATGAGCCTGTTGCGCGGCGAAAGCGACTCTGACATGCTCTTCAACGAATATCTCTTTAAGTGATTCATCACTGCAGATGGGTTGTATGGTTTTTATTAGTGCCCTTACAAAAAATCGTGTTTCATCGTAACTGTATAGCCTAAAAAAAAATTTAAATAAAAAATTTTAATATTGAACAAATTAATTAACTTTACGGGCACTTTTACAGTCACGTTATGTAAGTTATTAAATCTTGTCCCAAAGATACCCAAATATTTATGATTTTCCTATAATTAAAATAATTATGATTCAAACTTTCTTACCGGTGATGAATCCATGATCATTTTGACCACATCCGCTCCAAACTTTTCCCTGTACTGCTTGCCCAGTCTCTCGGATATCTCGCTCAGCGAGGTCAGCTTCGGCTCCTTGTACACATACTCTATGGCATGGTCTTCCTCGAAGTACATCTACAATATAAACATGAAGTTATTTAAAGTTAAAATCCCCTTCCTGAAAAAGAGCTCCTCACCATTCCATAGAATACAACTCGGTAAAAGCGACCCAGCATCCTTTGCCCGAACGATTAACCTCCACAATCTTGTTGTAGGCCTGAGTCAAATGCTCGTAGCAGTGAGCCAGTTCCAGGAAGCTGCGATCCCTTTCGTACATCGGCAGAATAAGCTTGTAGAGCTCTCCGAGGCACTCGAATCTTTCGGCGCGGTCCAAGAAGTCGGCACACTGCTTCAGCTGCTCCAAAAGCATTTGCTCTGTGTACTGGGAGTCCTGAGCACCGGCATCTAACTTAGACCCTGCTCATCCAGGGGAATATTTCTGGAGATCTTGCCAAATGCCGTGGACGACCAACTGAGACTGCAGCCACCTCTCAAGCGCAGTATTCACACATGAGAGCAGCTATGTGAAGATGACAGCAGGCAGCCTCCGAGAGATTCCCATTCTGCTCATGATTCCTAGCCATGGTCACCAACCAAGTATGCCGCAGCTCCGGTGTGGAGGCGTACGAGTTAGCCAGGGAATACTGTAGCTCCAGCAATCTCTCCGGGTCCATGTGATGGGCCTGCATCTGCGCCGTGGCCATCAAGACGGTGCGCACGCGTCGCGTCAAGTCCTTCACCTCCATGGGAAAGCCAGTGCCCTTCATGGCCTTGTCGCTATTCGCATAGCTGTTGATGATGGACAGACTCTCCTGGAACCGGGCATTATTCAGCCCGATCACATTGCCAATCATCTGGGAGACGGATATGATAACCTGAAGATGCACTCGCGTTAGAGCCTTCCTGCCACTAAACTCGAAATTGCTGCGCATGAGGAGATATAATACGGCACAGGATTCATGGCGAATTTCCACCAGACGACTATCGCAGGCTTTCAGAAGCTCGTACACCATCTGACCGCACAACATGGCATTGCCTTTGAACAGGGCTACGGCATAGTTATTGATAAACGCTCTTAGTGCAGCAAATACGTGCTTCGAGAGCCTTTCCGACTGTCCCAGTTGCAGGAATCGCAGATATACTCGAGCTAACTTGGGCAGGATAGTACTGTCGGCTAGAAGCTGTCGGAATTGCAAGACATACATGCCCAGGCAGTCCAGGATTATCATGCCCACCTCAGTGGCCAAATTGGATTCGTAAAGAGCCAACTGGCTTCTAGCCAGAGTGTCCATATCTTCCAAGAGATGCTCTCGGGTTTGGTTCAATGTTCCACTGTTCGGTTGCTGCTGCTCTTGGCTGTTTCCATTCTCCAAGCCCGTGGGCGGTTGCGTTCTCGCTGGCAACGTGTGAGCCTTGGCGGAGCGACCTGTTCGGGAGTCTGGCGAAGTGAGAACCACACTCTTCTTTCCCACATAGCGGAATTGCAGCAGACAAAGATCCAGAATGGAGAGGAACTGCAGGGTCTCGGACTCGTTGCAGTTCTGCCACCATGCAACCATTTGATCTTGCGACAGATGTTTAATGATGAACAGGAAACCCAGCAAGAGATCCTTGCTCTCCACCGAGCTGAACTTGTCGCAGCGCGAGAGGATCTGTGCGTGAGTTACGCTCACAGAGCGATTGTGCCCATTTCGAAGAGCTACATCTGCATCTCCGTTTGTATATGCTCCAATTGTCGTAGTGTCCTGGGAGTGCTGTTGAGACAAATGAATTACTTTAGTAGAGAAATAGAAGAGGATGTAGTCAGAAACTTACCCCCGAATCAGTGTTGGAATTAAGCGAAAGGTTGGAGATTCCATTGCTAATTGGCTGTCCCGCGATGGCAGCCAGGTAATTGTGTTCCTTCATATGAACCGAGGTGCGATACGGACTCGGCTGATCGCAGTGCAGGGTGAGACGATTCTTCGACCTGGGCGTGGAAGTCAGGGATCCAAAGGTGGACGAGTCCTTGCTAAACACATAGCTGCTGGAGCAGCTCAGTCGCTTGGTATAGGAAGCTGAATCTGCATACACATGGCCATTGGGTGTGCAGGCCCCGGACTCGGACATATCATCGATGCGGTGTATATTATCCATCACAACACCCAGCCAGGGAACATAGAGCAGGGCAATCCTTGATAGCTGTCCCCTTTGCTGGTATCGATTATCCAGCTCGTGTTTCGCTAGCAGATCCTTGAAGATGCCCAGAGCATGACGCCGCACGTGACCCACCTCGTTGAGGCTGCTCTTCAGCTCCTGGAGCAGTAATCCCGACAGAAAGTGCTGTCGGCAGAACTGCTCGGACAGTGTAAAGTGCTGCATCATCTCTGCCGGTCTATTCTTGGGGTTCAGTACAAATGGTAGATTGAGTGGCACATAATGCTCATGCTGACAAATCTCTTGCAGGAAGTTGAACTTGTATTCGTGGAGTATTCGAGCGTTGCCCGGCGCAAACTCTCCCATATAGCAGCGAATCAGACGATAGACGAATCCTCTGTCCATGTAGCTCAAACACTGGCGCACAAACCTCGCCAGAGAGCGATTTAGAAGATGCGTTTCCTCGCCCAGATCCTCATACCGCGTGGTGATATACGGCATCAGGACCTTGATTAGCTGCTCCACTCGATCGGCATACTCCTTGGGAAACCGCTCGTTCCGCAGCATTCGAATCCTGCCTGTGGCCAGCAAGTGCTGAGCCATACTCTTCACAATCAGATCGAAGAATATCGAGGAGTAGCGCATGAACTTGTTGACGATGAGGAAGTCTGGATTGCTGGGATTCAGGAGGAATGGCAAGTGCCGGCAGAGTTCACCGTGCACCGTCCTCTGTCTCGCCGTTTGCTGGCTGTAGTAGGGTGCATGGAACACATACTTTACATAGGCTCCCAAGAGATCCGGCCTCTTGGCCTGATCACTTATCAAGTGAATAATGTTCGTTATCAAACGGATGACATTCAGACCAATCTCCTCGGACTGGGTATGAACCAACAGAGTGAACAGCTCATTGAGGACAGTTGGTAAGTAGTTAATCAACGATCGCATATCAATGGCATGGGCTGCCTTCAGGATCTTGCAGGTTTCCGTTTCCGCCGGCACAGCTCCCGTCTTGCCACCCTCCAGGAGTCTCTCGCAGTGTCCGAAAAAGTTGTGCAAATGCTGATCCGCTGTGAGTACCGTGGAGTCCAGTCGCAGGCCCACTGTATAGAGATTCCTCTGGTTATCGATCCACTGAATGTCCGGACCGCAGTTCTGCTGAGAAATTGGAAGGGTTTGTAGGCGTTGCCAGGTGAGGATGGTGGTGGGTGCAGTAAGCATGCGGATCAGTGCGAAGGGAAGAGAACACGGAAAAAGAGAGAGCACACAGGTTAGTTGGCAAGCCAATGGGGGAGGGTCGAATGGGAATGAGGTGAGTGTTGGGTAAGAAACAAAACATCATTTGCATGAGTTGATGAAAAAACGGCCTTGGCAAAGCACACAAAACGTCAATGACTTACCCCCTTGCCCCATCCCAGGGCTGGATGGACAGGTATCCCACTGGCAAGGTGGCTGCCACCGGCAGCTGCTGCTCCTCCAGGCAAATCCGATTCTTCTGAAGCAACGGCAGCCAAGCATAACCAATGGGAGTCTCGAACGCAGCATGTGCATCCCGTTTTTGCTCAGGTTACACGACACATGGTAGAAGGAGAAGAGCAGGTGATGCTCCGGAAATAGACCCAAGGGAAGACGCAGCTTGATCTCTTCGTACCAAGTTGGAGTGACATTGTGATGCAGCACTGGGCAGGCGATCTGGGACACCAGTAGATCCTGTCCAGGACGACCATAGATGCACTTCAGAGGCTTGCTGTACTCTCCATCGCTGTCCCGCAGCTCCACCACCACGGTGATGTTTCTGGCCCGCGAAAACAGCTTCTGGCTGTCAAATTGCAAGCTCAGGGGATACACATAGAGATGATTGCAAAAACTTGTGTACGGATGCGCCTCTCGTTCGCTCTGGCTTTGGAATTCCGCCACCTCGATGGTGGGCGAGTGCTTGGAATTGGGGCTGAAGGTGGACAATGGAGCCAAAGATTTACTCAAGCCACAGTTTGGCGTAGTTTGGTCAAGAACTGCATCTGCATCTTCAGGCTACCCGGTATAATGGTCAGTTTGCTCAGCTTCTCTGGCTTGCGATAGTCCACCAAAAGCTTCAGCAACTCATCATCCTTCAGTTTGGGTAACTCCTGGCGATAAATAGGACTAAATTCGAACTCCTTGTGCGGATCCACATCCATTCATGGCTGTACTGCTTAAAGAGTGGTCGGGCAGCCCAGGCAAAGGGTTGCCTATAATGACCAATGTGCTGGGCACAATTCTTGGCGGCTTTGTAGACCTTCTGGCCCAACTTGGGATCCTTGCCAGCCTTTAAATAGGGTTCTGCGGCCTGGGCAATGCTGCTTTGCAGGATTTTCTCCACGCGCACCACCTGTAAACATGAACATAGTATTAGGATAGGCAGAAAATATTAATATCTTAACTATTTACCAAGTATATATCCGCATGCGGGGTCGTAACCGAAAGCAGGCACTGCTTCAGCTGCTGGAATTGCTGGCGATTCGATCGTAACAACTCTGCGGAGACTCCGTCGAACAGAGAGTGAGGTGCCTGAGAGCCAGTGCTCTTCTCATCACCGTCAGTTGATTTTCTAGGAACTCCACAGCTGGCAACAGATGATGGAACCGGGGTATTCGGCAGTAGTTGGGCAGCCCATGGCTCATTAACATTGAAATAAAAGTTCTCGCTTAGCTTCCGATTCGCCTTGGCATCGTACAATGCCAAACTGGTGATATAGGGCTCCACTTGCTGTTCGCTGCCGCCGGCGGAAGCCGCCTCCTCCTGGGGCACGCACTGTAGTCTAAAGCGCAGGTTGTGGCAGGTTAGCAGGAGACGTGTACCAAAATGGTCTCGATATTGCTCCACATTGTCACTGCCACTGGACTTGGCTGGCGATTGATAGCAGGCAAATAACCGACGACGGTGCTCTCTCCTGGCCAAAGCAATAGAGTGATCCGTTTCCCTGCCGTACTTCATAAGCTGCGGATGCAGCGATTGATCTAAGCCCTTCAGGGTGCCAAAGGTTTGAGGTTCCACAGTCGGAGGCTGGAGCTGGGGACCAGGATTCGAATTCACCGATGGCTGGCGCTCCAGCGAGGCATTCCGCTTCTCTTCCTGGGCACGATTCTGAGCCAACACCGAGGAAAGCTTACTTAGCCAGTCCCCGAAGTCCTGCTCGTTTTCGGCGGCCAGGGTGAAAGATTTGTGGCCGGCTGTCATGCGAAGTTCAAAGCAAAAGCGGCCACGTTTGGGATTCTGCAAAAGGTAATCGTAAATATAGGTTGGTTTGAGATATTCTAGTGTCACTCACCTGCACCACCTCGGTGCAAAAGTCCATGACTATTGTGGCCTTGGCCTCGCCCTGCTTCTCGTCCTTGTGCAGCTCTAGAATGTAGGTGCCGTCAATTTCTTGGCGCAAATAGCAATAGCGACGCTTAAAGGACTTGTTGCCAATGTTGGCAAACATTCGATCCGAAGCCGAATCGGGTCCCTTGAGTAGATATCCCTGCTTGGTAATGGTGTCCGCCTGAGAGCGAGTCATTTGCTCATCAATGCGATCCTGATCGGCATCGATTTCATATACCTCCTCCAGCAGTTCTTCAGCAGGAGAGATGCTAAAGATAATTGATTATATAAATATATGCTTTATTAGGAAAATATTTAAATATTTACCTTGGCAGATCATGGCAATTCCCACCGTAGGCATTATATTTGTAATGAATCAAATGATTCTTGGCCCTGTAGGTGTACAGAGCCTGTCGTGTGAAGCGCGTGCATTCCGCTCTGGATCCATGAATCGCCTGGCCATCCACTATATCCTCACCATGTACCTCATCCGCATACTCATCCACCTCCTCTGGCTGTGCCAAATGGGAACGAAGTGTCAGCGAGGACAAAGCGGACTCATAGGAGGAATCCTTGTGACTGGAGGAACCATTCGAACACTGTGAGCTCTTCCTAGAGAGCTGGCCATGTCCATTGGAGTTGGACAAACTGCTGCTACTGCTGCTGTGTCCATTACTATTGGATGTGCCATTGTGGAGGCTACCATTTGACTGGATGCTGCCCTGCCGGCTCACCTGGCTGTGGCCATTTCCATTGCCAATTATTGAGGGGCCATGCAGGGGACACACTATCGCCTCATTGGGGGCTCAAAGCGGTCGGCCACGGACTTGGCATTGGTCCGCTGCTTGCGGGGCATGATGATCTCCTGGAGAGGCAATAAAATAATAAATATTGGTATACGTTTTCAATGGAATATTAACAAAAGGTCAATTGTGGAAGTGTTTATATGAAAATATTGTTTTAAGAGGAAAATAGAAACATAAATTTATGCAGAAACATTTTAAAAATAAGTGTAAAGTAAACATTTAATTTAAAAACCTCTCAGAACCACTATCAATTTAAATTTCATTCATTTCATGTACATATTTTAAAATTCTTTAGTGTTTTAGCTTCCACAAAATACATTTAAAAATATTTCTATACTCACGGAGACATCGTCAGCGGGATAGATGAGTAGCTCCCTTTGGGGATCATTCTGGATAACTGTTTTATTTTTGGCTATAAAGGCTTCAAAGTCGATTGGCTCCACCACCATGGGCTTGTTCTGGAAAAAGATTGAAGAGGAAAATTGTATAAATATTCTGTTTTCTTAATTTTGTGTTTGCTAATTTATGCGCGCCACTTGTAAAAGCAGAGCGCCGCTATAAATAGACAACCCCAAAAGTAATGCCCGCTGAATGTTATCCATTCCCGATGCAGTCGGATTTTGAGAGATTTATCGGTACTACGCACGCCATAAATTTATTTCCACTTTGTGTGATGGGTGGTGTGGGTTCTCCTCTATCGCTCTCTCTTTGGATATTTTTCTCCCCACAGCGAGGAGACCTTGACCGGATTACAAAGAGCGGATGCCATCGCCTCCTCCTGCTGACCCGCTCCCTGTAATGATATCTTCCATGTCTGCCACTCGGCGGCATAAACAAATTCATTTCGTTTAAACATTCTAACATTTTAGCATTTTGCAGTCATTTGTGGATATTTTCAGCTTTTGCGTCTTAGTTTTTAGCCACAAGATGATCAAGATACGACGACTTGGGTGGGTGACCCAACCCAAAACCCAAGACCCCTATGACATGGCCATCATGGTGGTTTAAAGTGCCACTTCCGTTTGGCCATATCCATTTCAGGCGACAGTGCTGTCATTTTATTGCTTTCCTGAAACACAAGGTGTGTTGGTTCTTGGGTTTTTTCTCTTTTGTTTTAGGGGCTTGGTTCCTGGCAGGAAGCGACAGGTCAATGTAGGCCATGGGAAAGGGTTAACCAAGGTTAACTGCGCATTTGTGGGGGACATTGGTGAAAGGATTGTCAAAGGTTGGATATTAGTATTGGGAAAGGTGTTAACTTTTCATTTCTTAATGCTCAACAGAGATTAGTACACACACTCACTCATCGACTCCCGCGCACACACATACATACTTACATAGTGGTGCTCCCTTGTCCTCGGGAGTCTCAGTTGTTTTTGTTGCAGTTCAAGTGGCTTTAATTCGATGCTAACTTGGTAATGTCATCCCATATGTATTTATTTATTAAGTTTACTTGGGCATTTGCAGTTATACACTTGCAATTATGTTTTTCACATACAATTTCCCGCTTTAACACTTCCAATTAGAGGGAGAAGCACCGCTCACTTCTTATTTATGTTTATTCTTAAAACAGTCACTTGTTTAATGCTAATTTAACTGTTCCCTCATAAATGCAATTAGTTGAACTGATTAAAACGTTTAGTAGGTATAAACACAGGTTTTTTCGGAAGATTAACGTTTTTTAGCGGCAGCAGAAATTGTAAGGCAGCATCGCCAAAATATTCCAATTAGAGTGCTCTCACACCAAGATCGCGTTAGTGTCAAATCGCAAATACCATATGCAAGTGTGGTAGGTAGGAAGAGAGGGAGGAGAAAGAGAGGCGTAGAAATAGATCAAAATTTGCAAGAGTAAAGATAGACGCGTGCTGCCGCTGCTAAAAATTGGTTTTAAGTGCGAAAAAAGTTTATTAATTTGTACCCAACGTTTTAATCAGTTAAACTAATTGCACTTAATGCAGGAACACTTAATGCAGCATGAAGCAAGTGATTTTTTAAAGAATAAACACAAATTAAAAGGAGTGCACTGCCTCTCCTTCTAACTGCAAGTGTAATGGCGGCCAATGGAACGAGAAAAAACTAAAGTTGAGCAAGTGCCGATGTTAACTTAACAAATAACTACATATGTGATAAAAACAAGACGTTTTTAAAACAATTACCAAGTGAATAATGAATAAAAGCCACTAAAACTACAATAACAACAACTGAGACTCCTGTGGGCAACGGAGCCCCAGCGGCAGCCGCCATGTACATATGTATGTGTGTGCGAGGGAGTCAATGCATTTTTGTGTGCACGCGCAAGTCGCGTGATCTCGCTTCAGAAAGTTGCCAAATAACTGTTCCCTTGCGGTGTGCTTTGAATTAACTGTTTTAAAAGCTCGTGTGATGTAGAAGTGTAAATAAAAAGACTTATACATTGCTGATGGAAATAAGCCAAAAACTAGAGCTTAAATACCGAAGAAGGAAGGATAGAAGATAAAATCTCAAAATTAAGGAAATCGGTGAGTAAAAAATTCTGTAAATTTTTATATTGACTGTATTCCAATTCCCTTTTATTAAAAATGCAAAAATTGGGTTTTCGGAAGAGTAACATTTTGTTCCTGGATAACTCTGTTGTTGATGCTGATTAAGAATGTATATAATTTAAATGACTCTTTCACTGCATAGAAACCCTCTGATTAAATTTATAATAGTACCCCTTGTCAGGGCATATTTAATAAAAGTTTGAAGCTTGAAATTCCCAAAGAATTATTGATCTTAAAATCAAAAACAAATCAATGACAATCAAAATCATATCCACCGGCCAGCTGGTGCCTTGACAAGCCTTGGCTTTGGCCCTGATCCCACTCAATTGCACTTCGTGCCAGGCCACGCCCACATAAGTACCAGCCCCTTCAAGTAAAAGCGGCAATGTCAATGCACTCGCCCACTTGGCCAGCTTTTTGGTTTGGGTTTGGGTTCGGGGAAAGCATTTTCCGTTTTCCATTGTGAGCTCAGGTCCGGGCCTTTTCTTGCGGCTCCTCCATTTCGCCTCTTGGCACGCACGTATGCAAATTGGCAGACGACGACGTCGCTTTTAAGTTATGTAATTAAACCCCAAAACCGGCGACAAGCTTCAACACAAAATATATGAAAACCAAAACTACACCTACAGCAAACAAGCGCACGACAAGTGCACAGGTATTACGCAAAAAAGGGTAAACTTCCATCAGCGATCGGCCGGCCAATTACCAAATCAATTTGCCGAGAAAGTTGGCCCAAACAATATGAATATTTTCGTGGGTTTTTTTCTCTGCGGCCGGGGCATTGGCTAAATGCTAAATGAAAATCCAAATTTACAAAAACTAAACAAAAATGCAACGCCACGGTGGTCGATCGCTGGACACGCAAATTCGCGGTGGAGGATCCCATCAAGCTGAACTGGTCTAGCAAGGCGTGAAGGCACCAGAGATTCCATGAGACTCATCATCTGGCGATCAGTGACCAGCGCAGGTTCGTGTCTCGTGTTAATGGTTTTTAGATAGCTTAACTTATAAAGTGTGAAAAATTATAGTGATCTAAAAAAATTATTAAAATTTTCATATTAAGATGCGGTTTTAGAGAATTTTTTACAATAAAATAGTGAGTTTTGTTTAAATTTCTTTAGCATTTCCTTAGATTTTTATACCCTAATCAGGGTATTATAATTCCAGTCAGAAGCTTTTAAAACAGTGAAAAAGTCATTTCCGACCATATAAATCATATATATTCTTGATCAGCATCAATAGTAGAACCCATCTAGACATGCCCGGCTTAAAATAAAGGTTTCGAAAAATTTGCAAAAATTTGAAATTTTTATAAGGGTTACATCGTTAAAATTCTCAAAAACTGGCCAAAAATTTAAATTTTTAAAATTTGAATTTGAGTATGCAGATTTATAAAAACTAACATTTAAACGCTTTCCGAATTAAATTAAGGCTTTTTTGGCCTAGTTATGAGTTTTTTAAACTTTTATTTGTCAATATTTTAAGCTTAGTTATGATAAATATCCATACGATCCTAAAATTGCATTGCAAACTGCAAAGGTATATAAGTTTCGGCTTTTAGAAGTTTGTTTACTTTTTTGTTCATAATAAAATAAAATTATTATATCTCTTCTTTTAAGTTTTTTAACACATGTTTAGCTATTTTTTCTGTAACTAATTTTGGCCTTTTAAATTCCGTCAACACTGATCATTACCAGCCAGTTTCAATTTGAAGTTAGCGGTTTGAGGCGCCACGGCAGGCAAAACGTGACGATTTATGCATATTTGAGTGAAACATTGGCCGGGCCTTAAGTGGCAATGGCAGTCACACCTCTTCCCCTTTCAAAATGAAGCCCCTCATCGCCACATTCCCCTACTGCAAAAATAAAGAAGGCTTGACTTTCATTGATTGTCCCTGGCATGTCTTGAATGTCACTTGAAGCGTCGGCGGTGTCCCTTCTATTTCTCCGCTTATCAATTGAAATTGCAACAATGCGGCAGAAGATGCCTTCCTATACATATATATAGTATAAATGCTTATGTCTGCTATATAGATCTGAACTGAAAAGGGTCATGGAATGTTAGCTCGGCTCATTTAGATTTCACTTTGAAGTGGAAACCATTGAAGTGGTCGATGTGCTACTCCCTTCCTGATTTGCATTTTGTGGGCATGGAAAAAATTGTGACTAAATTTAGCCTTAAGTCATATATTGCATATGATTTTGCCTTTTGTTGTTATTGTGTCTGCGTCTGCTGAACTTTTGACCTACACGAAAATAGTTGATTTTTTTCGAGTGTTTTTCGATTGGGTAAGTGGTAGCAAAAGTTAAAACAATTCAAGTGGGGTTTTTATGCACATTTTCTGTAGATTTTAAAAGTTTTGAAAGTGCAATAGTAAAAGTACAGGAAGTTTTATGGAGAATGCATTTAATTTAGCTTATTTATAGGTTTGAATTAAACAAAGCTATGGATTTCAAAGATTAATTGGACAACAATTACTCAAAGAGGTTAATGTTTAAGTTAATTACACATAAAAACAATGGGTTCTTGGGAAATATTTATTATTTTAAGTAACTTGAAAATAGGTGTTTTGGCAGATACATATAATAAAATCTGTAATAATGTTTAGATACAATTGTATCTCAACTTTTTCCTTTGCATTTTTCGCAAACATTTTCTGGCTGTCTGCTAGGAATGCCCCCATTTTTTGGGCTGATACTATTTTAATTCAATGTATAGTATTTGCTTACTCACATAAACAAATAAATGGAACAAAAAATATACAACTTTTATGATTTCCTACTGTAAAGTCAATGGGGAAAAACGGCAGCTGGCATCCGTTCTGGCATAGGAATCCGGCATGTAAATTCCATAAATTTATGCCCATGCAGGGATTTCCTGCTGCCCTCCGTCTGAATTGCAATGATTAAATGCATATACAATTATTTTATTTATTTATT